CCTCTACTACCTGAAGTACCACGTCATGGTGCGTGCGGCCCCTCTGTGCGGCCTCCGAAGGAAAAGGGGGTTCAGGGGGAGCGGGGGACGTCCGTGTTAAACCCTGGAGGAAGCTCTGCCCTAGAGAGGGGGGCCGATGCGACGAGCAGTCGCGTAAGGGGTCGTGCGGACGCGCTGGTTAAGCGGCTGCCGCCGGGTAAGGTGACTTCCCGTGGCCTGTTCGCCGCTTGTTTTTCCTTCCTTGGGTGGCACAAATATATATATATTTTTTGCGATCTCTTCTGGTAGCGACCAGCTTTGACCGGGCTGCCTCCTGCGAGCCGGAAAGCCGTGTCCTAATTGTTGCCTTCCCGGAGGAACGGTGACCCTGGGGATAACCAGGCTGCAGCTGCTGGTGTGGGGAAGGGCAGCTGACGGTGGGACAGACCGCCTGCTTCTACAGTCTAGTCTTGCCTGGGAGGCGTAATTTTATTAGCCTGAGGTATTTCTTTAACTAGCGGAAAGTGCCCGGCCTAACGAGCCTTGTACTCAGTAGAGCTTGTGTTTTAGAAGGGTTGATGTCCCTGTTTTGGAAATCCTTTATGCTTCACCTGGGTAACGCTCCTTTTTCCTTACCCCCTCCTCCTCTTCTCTCCCCTTCCAGAAAATGCCGCACGGTGTTGTTATGTCAAATCCACGGGTATTCCCAGTAAGTCTATTAATACTTGTTTTATCTTCCAGCTTGGTAAAACAGGCCGACAAGGGGTGACTTGGGGAGAAGTACAGGTCTGTGCAGTAGCCGTGCAGGGAGGATCTCTAGAAGGATGAGCTTGATACTGAGGGCAGGCTGCCCTGGAGCAGCACAGTATTTCTGAGCAGTTTTCATCTTGTCCTCGGGGCAGACAGTCCCTGTTTCAGCGGTAGCTCCCTCCGTAGCAGCAAACTTCCAAGTACCTGGCTGACAGCGCCGCCCCTCCTGGGCGGAAAACACAAATGTTCCCGTATGGGAATGGGAGCGTTAGTTACTGCGCAGTAACGGCATCTTTGCGGAGGGGTTTGGGTGTTCAGAGCCTCTGTGAAAGCGGGATTATTAACGCGTGGAATGACAGCGAGGAGCGGTTCTGCTTCTCGCTGACAGGAGCGGCGATTGTCAGGAGTCGGGAGGGGTTCGGCGCTGAGCGTGTCGGTTCTGGCCGCACGAGCTTGGTCCCGGGCGCCCCTGAAGGTCCCCCAGGCTCAGGGGTCCCCAGAGAGAGAGGGCCGTGCCACCCTCAGCTTGGGCTTAGGGTTGCGATGTGGAGAGTGTCGGATTGTTTGGTCTTTACCGGTTTTCGGACTGCTCCGAGACATTGCTCGTTGCTTGGTGTAGCGAGTCGGTGGGCAGATATTCTCGTATAAGTTTAGCTTTGCTATTTCTGCCAGTTGCACATTTTTTTTGCATAAAATCTGCCTAATTGTGCCTTATCTGAAATAAAATAAAGCTCCATCCCTGACAACTACACAGCGACATACCGAAGGTCAAGCCGTGGGCCTCTGACTTCAGCCTGATTACTCGCCCAGGTTAGGTCAGCTCAGCAGGCCAAGACGGTCCCTGAAGCTGTAACAAACAGCAGCTGGGCATCAGGTTGATTTCTGAGGGATTACGTAGCTCCTCCTGGGCTGCAAGGCCGTGGGTTTGGAGACTCCCTCACAGCCGTGCTGTGGCGAAGGTGGTTACGCAGCGCTGTAAGTCCCATATGCATTTTTTAAAACAATACAGTCTCGAAATGTTTGGCTCCGGTTCTGTAGCTGAAAGGAAAGGGGTGAAGCAAGTACAGATTTCAGGTAATTTGGCTGTGATGTTATTTCAGTGTCCTGGGGAATGCTGAGTGAATTGAGGGTGGTCTGAGTAAGTTGTACTAAGATTTTTTTTTTTGTCTGGAAGTGGGGACAGCTGCAGCTTAGTTGAGAGACTGTGCTGTGTGAAGGGAGAGGCTGGGCGTAGGAGAAAACGCTCACCATCCTCTCTCGTTCCGTCAGGGGGACAGAATTTTAGAGACGGGAGAAATTATTCCACCCCTGAAAGAAGAACCCGATGAGCACCACTGATGGCTACAGGCTGATTTCCTCCTTCAGCGAACAAGGCGAGCACTGCAGCTGCTTTCTCTCTTCTATAAAAGAGTCTTTATTCCGCATTGCCTCAGCTTTTCTGTCATTTACTTTCTCCTTAGTCCAATTTGTTCAGTTGCTACTCATACGGGAGTTTCTCTTTTGCCTTCATTGAGCGTCGTTGCTAAGCCCCGGTGATCTCCAGGCCCCTTTCCTGAACTTTTTCTCTGACCTGCCAAGATCTGGCGGCAGGACAACGTGGGCCTTATAGTAACAGGAGAGATGCTATAGATCCCGGGGGACTGTGGAACAGTCTGCTCAAAGGACGGGTGTCGCGGCGAGCTCCTGCACACGCGCACAACGGCGGTCCTCTTCACCAGTCTAGCAAGCCCTTTTCTACCAACCAGTTCTGACAGAGGCTTCCAGTGAAAATTAAGCTTCCACCTGCGTCATCCCACTTCTCTGCCAAGAGAGGGTAGCAGAAGTGGCGCTGCTGCCAAAAATTCTTTATTCTTTACCCTTTGCCCTTTCTGAGTTGGAGTCTCCCTGCCCGCACTGGCCCCACGTACCCGCGGCACTTCGTACTGGGGAAGACTGGCCCCTAATCAAGTGCTAAATCTGCAAGTATTTTGGTGGCTACTTTGGGGATAGAAATGACTAAACCAGCAATCCAAAGGGTAACCTGAGGCACGTAAGGGGAGGGGCTGGGACAGAAGCCCTTCATGACCTCATGGAACCACGTGTGACCGGTACCGCCAGTGTTTGTGAGGTCAAGGTGACAGGCAGGAGCCCCCCTGCTGTCCCTGGGGGCAGCCAGACCTCTCGTAACCCCTCCAGTACGGACCAGCACCAGCAGGGCCATGGCCAACGCAGGGGTGAAAACCCTCCTGCAGTCGAAGGAGATCAGGGAGGCTATGGACCCCACATCGGGCACCCATGCTCAGCCCGCAGCCCCCAGGCCCCTGCTGGGTGCCCCCCAGGCCCTCACCAAGCCCGCGGCCGTCTCTTTCCTCGGGTAAAAGGCAGCTCGGGGTGGGACGGCAACTGGGGAACAAAGCGGAGGGGCCCAGTGGTGGGCTGTGAGACGGCAGTAGGATCCTGTGGGTCGTCACTGGGAGGCTCTGGAGGGGGGCACTGGGGAAGCTCGAGGGTCCCTGGGGGGGGCTAGAGAGTCAGCAGGGGCTGTTGGGGG